AGCCATGCGGGTCTCTGGGGGAAGAACCGGGCAGGGAGGGCAGCCACTGCAGAGGTCTGGAGGGAAGGTTGCGATTGGCATGTTCAAGAATTAACAAGGCCAGAGTAGTAGGAGCAGAGTGGGTAGGTGGGAAGAGTCAGAGATGTCAGAGAGGTGGTAGGGAGTCAAACTGTGAAAGGACCTTTGGCCATTGTGAAGACTTTGAATCCGACCCTGTGTGAGATGGAAAGGCATGGAAGGGTCATGAGCAGAAGGGTACTGTGATCAGATTTAGGTTTTTAAAAGATCACCTTATCTACTGTGTTAAGTATTGTCTGAAGGGGACATGACTGAAATAAGGAGGAAGACTCTTACAATAAACCAGATTAGGGTTGACGGTGGCCTGGACCAGATTTGTAGGGGTGGAGGTAGCAAGAAGTGGACGGATTCTGGATGTATTCCTGTTAGTGGACTGCTAGGATTTGCTGATGGGCTGGATATAGGGTTTGAGAGAACATGCAGTTACCACGGATTGGCCCAAGCAGCCAAAAAGATGAAGTAATCATTAACCAAGATCAGAAGGGCCCTGAAAGGAGAAGTATATGGAGGTGATCAGGAGTTCAGTTTCGGATCTGTAAGATCCGAGATGGTATTTTGACATCCGAATCGAATAAGAAGTTACATCCATATATGACTCTGGAATTTAGGGATGTGGTGCTTACCGGACATACAAATTTGAGAGTTGTCAGAACCTAGATAATATTTGAAGCTATGGAAAATGGTTAAGCTCACCAAGGGAAGGAATTGAGATAGAGAAGAGATGAGGTACAAGGACTAATCGTTGGGTATTTCAGAGTTTAGATGTCAGGTTGATAAGGAGGGAAGGTACATCCAGGGACCTAGAAGGAGCAGTAATGAAATAGGAAGACCAGAAGACCAGCGAAGAAAGCGGTTCGGCAAGGGGAAAAGTGGCCAACTGTATCAAATGCTGCTCATGGCATAGGTCAAGTAAGCTGAGGACCAAGAACTGACTTTTGAGTTTAACAACATGGAGATCATCGGTAGTGTGACCTTTACAAGCTGCATTTCAGTGGAGTGTTGGGAGTGATTGAAGTAGATTTAAGAATTTAGTGGAAGAAATGAAGAGAGTGAATATACACAGTTTTTCAAAGAGTTTAAAGGAGAGAGAGAAATAGAGCAGTAGCTGGAGGGGGATGTGAGTCAAGAGAGAGTTTTGTTGTTTTTTGTTTTTTGTTTTTAAAGTGGGAGAGATTATGGCATGTTTATGTGCTAATGAGAATGATCCAGGAAAGAGGGAAAATTGATCATGCAGATGGGAGAGACGGTCACTGGAGAGAGATCCTTAGTAAGTGAGAACAGATAGATTCGGTGCAGAAGCAAAAGGATTGGCCTTACATTGGATAACAAATTCATTCGAAATGCAGGAAGGCAGGCAGAGAATTAGAACAGACAGAGGTAGGTGGATAAATGTGATGGCGGGAGCTTGTGAAAAATTTCTTCTGATTACTTCTAATTTCTCCATGAAATGGAAAGCCAGGTCATCAACTGAGAGTGAGGATATGGGAGAAGTTGGATATCCGAGGACAGTTGAGAAGGTGTGAAATAATTCTCTAGGAGAGTAGAAGAAAGAGTGGCCTAGGAAAACATACAACATGATGGGTGAACAGCACCAGAGGCCAATTTGAAATTCATGCTCAAAAATTCAAAGAATAGAGCCCTCAGTAAAAAAAAAAAAAAAAAAAAAAAAATTCAAAGACTAGTGTGCATGCACGGTAGTGTGTCTCCTGCAGCCAAGTTCAGCTGCATGGGAGTGCTCACAAGTAGGCAGAGAGTTCAGGTTTTGCCGTGTAAGGGAGGGGAGGGTACCTGCGAGACAGCGACTAACCACAGAATTTATCCTGGGCAAAGAGGTAAAGTCAGGATGGAAGGGGGAGGAACCGGGACAGTGAAAACTGGTTGAACGATCAAGGAATTGTAGATGCCCATAGGGTGGGAGAATTGTTGAACTGGGGTTTTAGAGGAAGAAAACTGGAAAGATAAGATGTGGTGGTCAGAGAGTGGGATGTTTAAAATGGACATTAGGGTGGGGTTATAGCTGGAAAGGACAAGGTCTGCTGACACAGGGAGGAGGCCAGATCACTACCACAGAGAGGAGGTCAAGAAATTGAGATAGCAAGGTGTTGAAATCATCACCTCTGTGGATAGTGAGTCATCAAGAATTACGGCAGAAGAAATGTTGGAGAGGGAGTGACAGAAAGCCAGGAGCTAATGTCTTTAAGGAATGAGGGGCAATGACCAGGCAGGAAGTAGATAGGGGGTCAGCAGGTGACATAGTCTGGTATCCCTCTACCACCAGTAGTAGGCTTTTGAATATCATGTGCCTCACTCCAGAAAGTAAGTTGTACAGATGTTTTATTTGTTTGTTTTTAATGTTCCGTTACCAACTTAATGTCCAAGTATTGTCAAATATGTGGAGCCCAGTTTAGAAGAATTTGATTCTGATTCATATTGCCAAGTATTTTTCTGATCATGTGAGCTTGCCTTTCTCACCCTGATCTTGATATCCAGGAGAGAATTTGGGACATTAAGAAAGGGTTCAGCTCCTGGCTGTGGTGCTCATATGGCCTTGGACAAACAACTTAAACTCTCCGAAACTTAGTTGGTAACTTCATCGGTAAAGAGGGGAAATAATATTTGCCTATTAGGCTTATTGTGAGGATTAAAGAAGATAATGTGAAAGCATCTAAGCATAAGCATCTAAGCGTTATCCCCAGCACATAATAGGAGCTCAATTAAAATTTATTTAATGGATCAATACATACAGATATTTTGATTTAAAAATACTACAAAACTGACCATCTATTCTTTCTGAAAAAAAAAAAAAAAGAGCGTCCTTTATGAAAAGAAAGTGTACCATTGGATAGTTTATGTATGGTATGTAGAGTTTATGTTATAGATTAGCTCACCAAATTGGGAAATCTGTAAAATGGGTTAATATTGCAATAAAAGCTTTTACTCTACACTCATTATGTGATTAAGGCAAAAATATTTTTATTACAATTATCCAAGTTCAGTAAAAAATTTAATGAGGCATTCACTGCCTTGGGCAGGCTAACATGAAACTTAATTTGCATTAATTTGCCCAAAAGTTAGGAAGCAGAAGTATACTGTTTTTAGAATTTGAGTCTATGAGAGGGAAACCAGTACTTTATGAGATGTTTCTATGCATAGATATAGATTCCTCTATCATCTTCTTCAGGCAGTGAAAAAAATCACCATGAGCATCATAGAAAATGGATCAATATCAGGTGCTTAGTGCCAACTGGGTGCCAGCAGGATCTGTAGAAATCAGGAATTTTTATGAGACACAGTGAGCATAGTGTATTTGTATATTGAATATCTATAGAGGAAAGAGTGATAGAATTCAAGTCAAGGGGACCTAGCTTCAAAGTCTGGCTCTGCTGGTTGTTGAATGCGGGGCTTTAAACAAGGCCTTACTTGCTTCATCTGAAACCTGGGTATGACAATACTTCATGGGGTTGCCGTGTTAATTGAATGAGGTAATATATTCGAAAATATCTGCTATATTATGTTAGTCAGAGGTGAAGGAATCAAAGTCATGCCTTCTGGGGATTGGACGAGGTTATTAAAGATAGCATTATGAGGTATCTCCCAGAGTGAGTCTAGATCATTTCCATCATTTTTCCTTCTACCAGGCTGGAAGACATGCAGGGCTTTTTGAGAAAATTATTCTGGAAATGTCAAAGAATAGCTGGTAACTAAGCTGTTTCTTCTTAGATTCGGGGTATTTTTCTCACTGAGGTGGATAGAAAGATTTAACGGTATTGTAGAGCGTCAATAAGAACCATTCAAGGGATGGACCAACCTGAAATCGTATTAAAAGGTGAAAGGACCTTCCAAGACTTCCCTGACCCCAGCTCTCATAAACATTTGGAAACTGAAGCTCAGAAAGGATAGTTACAGTGATGTTTTGAAATGAATTTAAATTGTAACTATTGTCCATTAAGGTTGAAGAACACTTGGTAAATATTGCAACCATGAGAATATTGTTTCCGTCATAGTCTGTGAGGTGGGTGTCATAGGTCTTTAATTCTTTCAACCAATTGCAATGCCTCAAGGGAAATTAAGAGGCAGATAGTGATGTCTCCCTGTAGAGGGAGAGACTGACCTTCATACAGGGTCTGGTAAGTTTATTTGAACTCAAGTACCATTATGACAGAATGATCTGGTGTGAGCCAACCTTGGCACCTGCTAGGATCTGGAATGAGGCAATATGTGTTATTCTGACAAGTTGCAAGGCTCTTGCCGCTCTTCACTCCTGACTCCTCCAACCCAGTGCCAGGCCAGGGCCTCGGGAGTAATGACATCCAAGATGATCCTTCCATGATTATGAAAATAGAAGCTCCTTTTAAAGGAGTGTCCCTACAAGTTCAGCCGCAGAAATAGGTAGACATTTGCATGGATACCAAATATATGCTTTGCTAAATCTGACTCTCTGGGACATACTTGATCAGTTCTCATCTTGATCTTCCCTTTGTACAGTTCTCAAGCCAAGGTGAAGACACAAGCCTGCTTAACAGTGTCATTAAAATAGGATTCATGCTACCAATCATTTTGTTTTATCATCCTGGGAGATCTTAAAAAATGATGTCACATATAACTTTCGGAATTGACTACCGCATTTGTTTCAAATGCCAAGTGTTATTCAAGCTTTGCCGTATGTAATGTTGTAAGAACCCTGCTTTTATGTTTCAAAACCATCAATAAATTGCTCCATTTTATTGCTTAATGCCCAACCATAGCATCGGGGAGATGTGCAGGACTTCTCCAGGGAGCACTTGGTCCCGTTTTGTCATTTGCTTAGAATGTCAAACAGAGCCCCCTTTCGGAATGTGTGGGGGAGGAATTCCAATGCCACCCGGAAGAACATAGAGAGAGATATTTCCCCCTGTTTCATTTTATTTTTTGAATCCATACAGGCAGCAGCCTCAGATTCCAATCACCACAGGAACAGGTGTTGTGTATCCTGGTGCTATTACTATGGCAACTACCACACCGTCACCTCAGATGACATCTGACTGCTCTAGCACCTCGGCCAGCCCAGAGCCCAGCCTCCCGGTCATCCAGAGCACTTACGGTATGAAGACGGATGGCGGGAGCCTAGCTGGAAACGAAATGATTAATGGAGAAGATGAAATGGAAATGTATGACGACTATGAAGACGACCCCAAATCAGACTATAGCAGTGAAAATGAAGCCCCGGAAGCTGTCAGTGCCAACTGAGGAGTGTTCGTTTGCTGAGTTAAAATACTTTGACATTTCGCCTCCCCTCCCCCAACAAAAAGTTCTTAAAGAGCCCGCATGCATTTGTGGCTCCATAATTACATCAGCAGAATGGTCTTAATTGTTTCGTAAAGTGTGAGACAGATTAAGTTTTCCCGGATTTTTCATGAACTTGAGTTTTTGTCGTTATTGTTATTGTTGTTGTTGTTGTTGTTTTAATTTAGGTGAAGACATATTAAATATGAGACACCAGGACTTGAAAACTTATCTCAACCCATCGCTGTCTTACAAGTCTTATATTTTTGTCTTACTTTTTTTTTTTCCTTTTGGATGTTGATAAAAGGTTTAAGTTACTGTTTTAGATGGGGTTAAACATTCTCACTCAGGTATGCTGTGCCGGCCTACAGGTTGTGAATGTGTTTTTATTCTGAGTTATTTGCAAGAACACCTGAGGATTTCATATTGTGAAACAGAACAAGTCCACAGCGTGTGCAGCTGCGTGTAGAGCATATTCAAAAGGCCTCGAAATTCCATTTTTCCATGTGTAGAGTTAAACTTTGAATGTGCCAAACTTTTCTCAGAACTTTTGAATCTTCATATTTTGAAAGTCTTAAAGGAGACACTGCGAAGTCTTAGACAATCTTTGGCATCTTAAAATAAAATAGCAAACCATACATTTTTTTTTTTTTCCAGAAAATGGTAAAGTACTCAGGAATCTGGAGACAAGATATTGTAAGGAACGAACAAGGTTGCCACAGTGCATGTACCCAATCGTGTTTGCCTCTTGACGTGCCATCAGTGCGTGACGGGCCGCGCCGAGCGCGCCCCAGAGCGTTCACCACACCAGATACCCACGTGGTGGTTTTCTCTGCCTGAGACCACCTCTCACTACATCCATTATCCCTTCACCTTTTAACCCTGACATTCAGTCTTAACACATTTTCTCTTAAATAATTTATTCATTCCAGAATGTCAAGGGTCCACTTACTATTTATTTGAAAAAAAATGTTGGTGGCATTAATTTAATAATTCTTGTTTTTCACCCTCCTTCCCTGAAGATCTTTTCAGCCCCTTTCACCTCCTTCTCCTGCTACATATAAAAGATGTACATAGTGATTTTATGTCCCCAGAGCATCTGGAAGCATTTCTGAAACAAGATTCTATTAAATACTTATATTGTTTTTAAACATAAATGTATATCTGGCTGTAGGGCTGTGTATTTGGATACAGGTGTAGAGTCTTACACTTCAACAGGTATGCCCCTGAGGTTCTCTGTGACCTCAAGTCTTTTGCCAGAATTTCCCCCTAATTCAGTTTAGCAACAGAGTGGTAGGATCTGTATCAGCGGCATTTCCCCTAAATGCCATTCGGCTGCAAGAATCAGCAGTGGTGACTGCCACGCAGGAGGGTCCTGCAGCCAAGCCGAAAGCCCAAGGTTGTGGACCACGGAGGAGGCCACAGCGATGCTGTCATGGGCTGGGCACCTCCACAATGAGTTGCCTTGTTGCATCTGGCACACCTAGGGAGGTTTTTTTTTTTTTTTTTTTTTTTTTTTGCAAAATCCCCAGGATCCAAGAAGCCACATGACAGCCTCAAGGCAAAGATAGAGGCAAATAGTCATGATACATCCAGAGAATGAAAGAAAACCCTAGGGAAGGAGAAGGAGGGGAAATACATTCCCTATAGGGGATGTTCCTACTGTTAACTCTGGGGAACGGATGACTCCTGGGGCAGCAGATGAGCTCCTCTGTCTCCCTCCCTCCATCAGTGGCCACGTGGGGAGGGGGGCATGCCTCCCTGTGAACACGATTAACGGCACTGGTCACACGAGGATTTCTCTGGAGATGTGCTGATGGGCTGGGAGGCAGTGAGGTTTCATTCCCCTCTCCCATCTACTGTGAGCTCAGCCCTGCCATTTTGACCTTCCTGAAACCAGGACTGACTGCCAGTGGTGGGGGAGAGAACCTCACCTGGAGTGGTTCAATGGGAAAATGTCAGTTAATGGGACAGTTCACCTCATGGGACAACCCAGAATCTGATCACCAGGACATAGGAACGGCCCCATCAGATTTCTTGAGCCATTTTGTCACTTGGAAGAAAATAGTGTACCTTCATATTTATTTAAGGAGTGCTCAAGGCCATACCTAATAGCAATAAATAGGTCTAGCCAAGATGTTATGGGCTGTGTCATTAGCTGGGAGTGCTCTCCATAAGCTGATTAAGGTACTGATAGGAATGTTTTGTTCTTAGGATTGGTTGGGGATTGGAACTTTGTTTTTTGTACATTTATTTCAAATGAGGAGGAGGTCATTTTTTCTCAAAAAATGAATATTTATTATTGTCTTACTGATTTCTTTTGATTATATACCTCTCCTCCTCACTGCATACTCATGTTTTTTTCTCTTTCTCTTTGACTCTTGCTTTTGCTCTCTCCTCCTCTCTCCTCTTTTTTTTTTTTTATTTTGCTGCATAGGTAGAGTGCTGTATGGCTAGCATTGTATTGTATGTAATTAATTTTGCACAAAGGCAAACATTTAGAATAGTAGGTTAATTTTGTTTGTTTTTATGACCATGCCAAAATAATATTCTGGGCTGGTGGAGAACAAAGGACTGTTCTTTAGGACTGAAACTTGATTTTGCTTGTAGTTAAAAAAAAGAAAGAAAGAAAGAAAAAAAAAACAACAAAAAACACACACACTCACAGATGTTGTTTCGTAAGTGTTATAAGCACTGGATATAAATGGTATTTTTTATCACTTCTGACTAATGTGAAACTGTTGTAAGAAAACGACATGAACAAAAGTCATCTGTTTCGACTCGTGTGGGCTTGCCTCACAGTTGCCGGATTTGAGTCATTTTTATGTCTTGTTATTTCATTTATTTATGCAAAATACATGTGTGTATGAACACTTTGTTTTAGCTCCAGCTCTGCCTCAGTACTGGGGTGCAGTTACTTCTAGCCATGTTCTTAAAAGTGAAAGGCTATTCAGGAATGATCTGATTGTAAACGTCTCTTTCATTGGGTCAAACAGTAATGCTGTATTTGAATCTAAATTCTGAGTATAAGCAGTTTATTCTATTTATTAGCCAAGTTTGGCTCTAAATGTCCATGGAAATTAAGAATGACAATCACAGGGATCACTTCGTTTTCTTTTCAGTGGGGCTTAAACAAAGTTTTTATGACTTTACCATCTCATTTTAGATTTTTCTAATTGTGTAAATATAACATAGAAATAGAATTTATTTTTGGTTCATGAATACTTAGTGAGATATAAGTTATGTATTTCCTTTTCATTCTCTATCCATGTATGTTGGTCCAGACTAGAAGTTGACAAGTCACTGTACCTCATGGGGATAGTGAATTCGCCACCACAGTGAGAGAGCAGTGTTTCACCTGTCGCTGGGGCGGTCACACCCTTCTCTCGGGCTCCCACGCAGTTTGGAACCCACTGTCCACACGCTCAGACTTTCACTTGCTTTTTTATTGTAGAAAGTCGATGAATTGAATATCTTAAATTTCCAGTACAGCTCGGGGAGAGTCAATTTGCTTTTGTAAGTCCACCTAAATCTTATAAGGTAGTTTGGTGACCATTTAATAGCAAGAAGCGTGAATGCCATTCTACAGGCAAAAATCTGCCTCTGAGAGTGACCGTTAATCAAAGTCCTACCATGCCAGTTAGATTAAAGAATGCTCATCAACTGTTTTCCGTGCTTCCTATTTCACAGTATCTTCAAATCAAAGACAAATCATCTCCATGTTGTTAAAGAACTTAGAGGATCAGGATTTTCCTTGTCATTTAGAATAGGGACACTGGCTCACGATCCTCTCCTAAAAATTGGACCATATGGGTTAGGAAGGAAGAAAAGGAAGAAAGGAAGGAAGGAAAGGAAGAGAGAAAGAAAGAAAAGGAAGGAAGGCAGGAAGGAAGGCAGAGAAAGAAAGGAAGGAAGGCAGAGAAAGAATGGGAGAAAGAAAAGGTCAATCCACGGACAGGAGCAGCCTGGCAGGCGGTCTCTCCATCTCCTTGGCAGAGGCGATGCAGTACCTTTTCCAGGAAGGTGGGAACATTTGTCATTTTCACGTGTATACAGCTCCGTCTTTTAGGAGCACGTCAGTTTGCTTCATTTGGTATTTGACTCCCCAGCCTTGTCCTCAGGCCTGATTCGATATGCCAGGGTCCTGACTCGGTCTCCCAGGCCAAGTTCTAAATTCAGGTGTGGGCTCACAGCACTGTTGAGCTTGTCAAACGCTGGCCTCCCCTGAACGTTAGCCCCACTGGGGCCTGGGTGTTTGAAAAGGGTGTGATCCCTCTAGGGCTGAAATTAAAGGCTTCTTTCTTTTCCTTATGAAGCCAGGCTGCTTCTTCGGAGCACACCCTCCCGAGCCAGGAGCAGAGGCGCTAGCTGAAAGCGGGGATTGTTCCGAGGAAGCCCATCCACCCCCAGTAGGAAGGCAGCCTGGTCACTTGAACACCACAGGCAGAGGCTACTTCTCTCAATTTACTCATTTTGCAAAGAGCTGACCTCTACCTACTCATTAGGGAAAGGAAAAAGAGTCACTTAGTTTTAAACCATACGAGAAGTCCTGTACCAAGTGCCAACAACTACAAAGAATGCAGCTAGAGGAATGTATTGAAATTATTACTGGGTCTTCCTTTATAACGAGAAAATGACAAGAATGGTTGCTGTAGCCTTGCGTGATTTTGTGCACGTTTGTCTAAGGACTGAGTTGGCACTTAAGCTCACTTCTCAAAGTATAATAACATTGTATGACCTCATTTGTCCTTTTACAGAAGCACTTGCATCATTTCCTTAAGTCATCTGCCCCCTGACATGTTTTCTTCCTTAATAAACAACTTCTATCTGTTATTCCTGCCGATTATGTCCTGTTTCTGATGCCATACACTGTTGAGTGTAACCCTCTGCTAATATCATTGAAAATATTGATATGCAAACACATTTCCTTTTCATCCCCATCCCATCTTTCCTTCTGGGGACAGATTGCTTTCCAAAAGCTCACGAACAAGTATTCGGAATGCTGGTACCTTTGGGTCAGGGCTAGAGGGTGGGGAGGGTGGGAAGGGCACAGACAGGTAATGTTTAGTGCAGATACTCTTCCAACTGGTGTCCGTGGCTCTGTGAACGCTTGACGGCGACTCAGTGACATATCTTGCTCAGTAGTTTCTTATTCCTGAAGAACCACAAGCATAAGGTGAGGCCTCAGTGCTGGTGCTCTTGGAGTATGGGGAATGTGCAAATATTTAACTGTTTTGTATGC